TATAAGAATTAAAAATCAAAGTCAATAAAATTACAGAGATAAATGATTGTGGTTTTCCTTTCTTTCTATTGAATGCACATTATTTTTAACATTTAAATTTGTTTTAAAATATTATTACTGTTCATCTAAATGTAGATGAACAATAACATTTATAGTACTTTACACACGCACACACGTTTATTTAGACGTGTTGTTTTTTACAAAAATACTTAGGAATCTTTTTATTTTTGGGTAAAAATATTTAGAATTGAATAGCAGGAATATGCCTAGGCGGGGTTAGGCAGGGTATGGGCCCCTGCCACAGCTTTGGCATGTGAATCCCAACAGTGCCCATTATGGTTTTCCTTATTGGGTTACACACTTGCTCTCTTTCTTCTTCCTTCCACGTTCCCCTTTTCATTTCAGTTTCACCCACTTCTTCTATATCACCCACTCTACCTTCCTTCAAAGCAATCACATGTGAGAGACACAGAGAGAGATCAGTGCCCTACTTCGCATGCATGGATGACAGTGAATATGAGGAAATTACCCAATGCAGCATGCTCTGTAACTGGGTATGAAGTAAAGCTTGATTGAAGACAATACGAGAATAAAGTAAACTACTCTCTTGCGTATCGCTTGTTTTGCGTGTTATTCCAATGGCGCCATACAGACTCACAGAATACAGTCCTTTCATTGACAGACCCTTCGCTTGTCAACCCACACAAATTAAACTTGATAAACATAATTAACACCCTCTGATTATACTAAACAATCACGGGACATACATGATTTGTAAGCCCATATAGAACGTCTGACAGCAATGATCGCTTGTAAATAAATATTTTATACATCTCTGATATTTTTTTGCCTCTAAAAAAATGGTACTGATATTATGCATGACTTTCTTATGATCATTGTGCTTTTACCCGCATATAAAGGAAACAACTCATTACTCAGCTCAAAAAGTTCAGGCACGAGGCTCTGTTGCTTCTTGGCACGGCTTTCCTTGCGGTGAGTGCGAGAACAACAATTATGTGTTGGAGCTGAAAAGATGGTAGGGACACAGAACAAAATAGCCCCAAAAACAAACTAGAAGGATTAGTTCTAGAAATTAAATTAAGGATATATCATGCGCGGTGATAGATGTGGAGGAGATCAATCATGCCAATCCCTGTCTGAAGTTTGTGCAGGGATCGAGGACCAGCATGTTAAAATTAAAGAACGGTGAAAAGGCTCACGAGCTATGCACAGGAATATTAAGGATGGGGATCGTTAGACATGAGACCTCGAACTATAATAACAATGGACCACCACATTCGCAATTCCTTTAATTTTATATCTTTATTCTGTAAAATAATTGTGTGGTCCATTGTTGACCTCCAACGTAATTGGTCCTTTTCCATCCTGTTGCTTTGCCTTGCTTTTAGAAGGTATTTTGTTCCCTCGCTTTAAAACTCTCCTGGACAAAATTAATAAAAGCGAGACAGTCCCTTTAACGAAATGCAAATTCCTCAATTCCGTCACAATGCTGAGGTTAATTAACTAGGAAGTGTCCGCTCCAACATGCCAAGTTAACAGCAATTTGCAAGCCAGTTTAATGATTACAAGTAGGTTATTAATTGGTGTTCTTGGTGATGTCAGTGAATTATTTGAACTGACGGTGAAAACTTTGACAGGTAAATGGTCAGGCCTTGATTTGGTGACGTCCACCAGATGGAATGTTAGGTGAAAATATTAGTGGAGGGGGCTTCAACCTCCATTCCTGATGCAGGGGGACAAAGCCATGCTTCATGGTAGGGTTTTAAAGCTGATGGCCTTCTCTTTTTCTGCACGACGCAATAAAGAGGTCTATATGTGTAGAGATATATTAAGATCATGAAATGACTGCATAACTTTCCTTACTTGTTGGAGCTTTCTTGAAATGACTCCGACCTACACTATGCACATACAATTATATGTATGTACCACACTCTCGCACGATGTTAAAGAGAATCCAAGCCCCTAGATAGTGCATACGGTACTCTCTCTTGAAGGGACCTTAAAGTAGCCTACTAATTGTCGAGGACGCCCCCGTGAGAATCCGATGAAAAATAGCCTAGGACATCGATCGACCTTTTGGACCTCAAAATCTTTGAGATTAAAAGCAGAATTAAAACGTATGTATAGTTGACCAAGGTTTAGAGTTTTGACTCAATGGATTAGTGGCGGCACATGCAGCGTGTTGAGATGTAAACCTCGCCGATTCATCAGGCTTTTCAAAGCAAAGCATCATATCCACCATATGGGACTGCAGTTACAGGAAAATTAGGCTTACAGCTCCTTCAAGTTTGGTTTCTGTCTTCGACATTTTCAAACCCTTTATTCCTTTTCCTTTCTTCCACTCTGGCAGTTTGAGAGCATCAATTAAACCCATCGACAGATGCACCGTGTTTTCATACTCAATTGCTTGGAGCAGTTATAGTTAGGTTGTTTCTTTCACATGGATTAGCGAAACCCTCCTCTTATGTGGATTTTTTTTTTTTTTTTGCCATCACCTCCTCTGTGGCTCGGTCAATGCGTTGGAAATTCAATTCCATCATATACTTATTGGAATTCCGCCTGTATATCGATTGAAAAATGTAGGTGATATAAATAGTGATGCTTTAAAGTTTTGTAGCAGGAATTTTTATAAGATACAATTATTTGTGTATGATACAGTATATACTGTAAGAACAATGAATAAGTTTTGTGTCAATTATCAACATACAGCGGATGCGAATTGAGTTACGCTATTAATTAATAAAGGAAAGTGGGAAAATTAATCCTGCAAGAGATGGCCAAGGGATTGGATGTTCTGATGAATCTTTGTTGACTTTTAACGAATATTTATTAAATAAAAAAATGATGCAATTTAGCTTTTTATCTTCTCATGATCACACAAGTTAATCCCACCACACCCATATGGGCGACACTTTAGAGCGAAAATTTTATTGCGTGCATCACCGTTTTGTGATATCTAGTTCTGATTTCAACGCATTGTCATTAAATTCTACTTGGCTCATATACAGACCAATTAAAAGAACATTTATTTTCATATTGTTTTCTGTCAAGCTTGCAAATTGCAATGCATGGACACTATTTACATTGATTTAGGGTGAAGCAAGTATGAAGAGAGAGAAAAGAACAAATACCGTGGAAATCCTGAGAGGCCGAAATCAATCACGAGCCGTTCGTTCATTCTCGAGGGAGTAAAAGTGAACGGGTGAAAAGCCACATGGAAGAGAGCAAGAAATGGATAGAAAGCTTAAAGAAAAATAAAATGGCTCATCAATCTAATCAAAGCAATATTGGGAGTCACATCAATTGACACACTGATCTGGTGTAATATTTAGAGGTAGGGACACAAAGTTGGCTTCACTGTACAAGATGTTAACCTCGACCTCATTGACAAACCCTCTTCTTTCTCTTAACCTCAATGTTAAGCAACCCCTGCATTATTAAGATAACAACGCCGCATCTTATCTTACATATCTGGTTAATCCGAAAGCCTACCACTTTTTTCCCCTGAAGGACACCAATCACGTATCACGAGGATGTCTTTGGGAAATTTGAAATTTGAAATTCAACCACTTCTTTCTTGTTCTATCATTATCAATAATAACAGTGCTAACATTCAAAGGATTACAGATTTTGTCCGTTTAAGGAACCAGCCCACGCGTCCAATTAAAGCTCGACGGTATGGAACAAATGCACTCAATAAATTAACTTGGTGATGACACAGTTGAAATTCGCAAACGATTCAAGTTTCAAATGTACCATGCATACATGCATACATGTGCAGGGGATGGGGTAGAGAGAAGATGGCCATATTCTCCCACAGTGAGTTACTGTTGCATTTAGTGGGGATTTGAGACAATGCTTCATCGCTATCGAGTGAAGTTCCAGTATTATCCCTATTTTGTCAAGGACCAATCAAGGACTAAGGACGACCAGCCCATGCCTAGCTGGCTAGGGGCACCAACACAAGATTGCTGACCTCATCATCAATGACCAAAAAACCATAACCAACCCGTGGTGTGGACCCCAAAACTTTGCATTTAAACAAGTAACGTGAACCTGCTAAAAACAAAAAAGCGCCCATACCCTTAGATGGTGGCCAACAAGTCAGAATTCTTGCTTGGTGAGTCACCGATGCTATACACTTACCCTCTCACTCTCAGGCTCTCAGGTCATTATCCTAATTTGAATTAATAATGATATTTTCGTTAAAAGAGGATCTACTTCCCTTGAACGGATATGCCCCACAGATATCTTCAACAACACGTTTAATTAGGTTACATGATAGTCTTATTTTAACTTTAAAATAATGGGATTAGGATTTTACCCGAGCTGTGTACGGCCCAACGAGTTTCGTTGTAAAAGCCAAAAACAATTAGTGCAGGAGGAATGCGTGCTTGATTAGGAAGAATAATTAAAAAGCATTACAAGGTTTCTTTTGGAATCACCAGCCACATCACCGATGCTCGCTACAGTATTCAGCCCTATTATCTAAAGTTAACCCTGATCTGATGCAATCAGATTACGAAAAGCTTACAGCTTGATATGCACAACATGATAGAATACGATTATGATTTTGTTTATGCTTCTCTTTGGTCACTTCATCGTAGAATATAAAATAGTATCAGCATATCTGCACATGGCTAAAGCAATAAAATAGCGCAATTCACAATCGCCCTAACCTTCTGAACTCTACGTGACTAAACTTTCTGCCTCTCTCTCATGGACATATAACTTATGGAGAAAATCATATTCTCTCTGACCGGAGAAAGAGAAAAAGCGCAGCATGCTTTTTCACCTTCTCCTAAAGAAGAGAACATCAAATAATCACGCTGAGAGTTCACAGTTCATCACCCACTAAAGCTCCTCCAGCCAAACCCATAATCTCAAACTAAAAAGCTTGAGCGAGAAGGTGAAATAAAATCACCCCAGAAAGAAGGGGCAGGGGAACGAGACATTTATAAAACTCGGGGTCGGAGTAGTGACTCATAAAACTACAACTGAATTTACCATTGATAAGAAACAAGAAAAGGTGAACCCAGTAAATAATTAAAATTCCCTCTGGATATCAATCTCTGCCATGTTAAATATCCTGAAGAAGTTGATCATGATCATCTCATTGATAAAACTAAATTAAAAGTGAAAGAAAAGAAAAGACTAATCAACCGACAACGGTCTTACTAAGATATTATTTTTTCTCTTCCCGTTCGTCGATTCTTTCATCCTTCACCAAAGATTCAAGAGGACGAAGAGGACCCATTAGTACCAAGGTTTGCCCCACTATTATCGTTGGTGTAGAGGTGATGACTCGCATCCTGCGCGCTGCCGTTGTCGTTGTTGGCGTGGATTTCAGTGGTGAGGGCACGAGGGTCTTGCTCTAGAGCGTTCCTACCGTCATGATTAGCAGAATCTCTCCTGCCGAAAGTGTTCTTGTTGTTGTGCATCCAAACCTTCAACACCCACCATGTCCACCCCAACCTCATTGCAGAACTCTTGAACCAATTCTTCGTCCCTCTTCTGCATCTTCCACCCCAACTTCTCCGCGAAATGGTACATCTTTTCCTTCTGATCCTGGGTGAACTTGGTCCTGAACCGCTTCCTCGCATTCGGGCTCGGCGTTGCCAGAGCGTTAGCGGGAGCGGCCGCGCTCTCCGGCGGCGCTTGTATCCCGGCCGCAGAGAGAGCCAGAAGCATATGAGGCGCGGACGGGTAGTAAGAAGAGGAGATCGGAGGCGGCGACGCCGAATTGGGGCTGCGATTGGAAACCTGAAAGGGCGGGGGCGGCGGGGGATGGTGCCGATGGTGGGACTGGAACTCGATGACGTGAGTCGTGGACATAGGCTCTTCGGGCTCACGGCGGTGGAAATTGCGGTGGCAGCCGCATGCGGCACATTTGATGGAGCTGGGGTCGGCGAGGCTGGCGGTGGGAGAGGCCATGAACTCGCCACAACCGTCGAGGGCGTGGCCTCCCAAGCTGGCTGCATGGTTTTTCAAGCACTCCTTGTACGTGACGGGCAGGGGCTGGCTGGCCAGGCGGTGGTGGTGGTGGCGCTTGAGGACGCCGTTGGAGTAGGACAAGGGCTTGGCGGCTGTCTGGATCCGGGTGGGCGTTTCACTGTCACGTTCCGGGGATTTCGTACTAGTAGGAGTAGTGGAGGCGGTGGTGTTGTTGGCGATTGCGGGGGTTAAATCCATGGCTCAAACATCTAGTGTCGCAACAAAATTAAATCCTAGCTTTTAAGGGGTTGTTAGGTTTAGGTCTTTATTCAGATTACAAATATCGAACTCCATAAAAGTGCCGGTGATTTCCTCGGGAAATTAGAGGGGGGGCGAGAGCGCGAGCGGGATGCGGCAGCCGAAAAAGAGAGAAAGAACGGCCACTTTTGGAAGGTAGCGAGGAAGAGAGACGAGGAAAGAAGGTGCTGGCGAGGAAGCCCCCAGTGGCGATGGCTGCTGATAACAAAAATCTGGGGTTATGTGGTCGTCCTTCTTAACCACTAGAAGTTTTAACCCTGGTTCTAATCCGTGGTTAAGTTAGTGACCTCACTCAGGGTTAGATGTAAGTAATAAATATACCCCTCCCGTTGGTAACGAAAATGAGAAATAACCCTCGGCTTTATGGTTGCTACAAAGCATATAGCAAATACTAAATACTACTAGAAGTAGTACTGCAACTGTGACCCAACACTAGCAACGTCTTAATTAACCCGCCCTGCCGGGAGCGAGCGTGTAACCAGAACATTAAAGGGGCGATTAAGAAGCGAGAATTAAGGGAGCATGGGAGTGGTTGGTGCTTGCTGTGGCATAGCATGCAGATGCGAGGACCTGCAACTTCTGAAAACCCAACTTAATTTGTCAAGTTGGCAGTCAAGGACGGGATGGCACAGCTTTCACAGTAAATCATTGAGCTCGTTTTCATTTTCTTTTGCGCATGGACTAATTTATCCTTCTCCCATAGTTAAAGCTGGTAGCAAATTTGTGACCCTGGTCGAAACGTTTCGGACAGGACAACCAGTGCCTCCAGGGTATCTTTGTCGGCAACGGAGAATTCCCGGGGCAGCAGATGTGCCTTAGAAGTTGGGGCGGGATTAAACGACGCCGCCTTCAACTCAGCCCAATAAGCCCCGACAAAAGAAACACGTCCTGAAAGCCCGAAACGGTACCGTAGAATAGGGGCCTAAGTGCCTAACCTATACTATTTGGGGGTGAAGGGCTCGTGCTTCGGGGTGGAGGGATGCCGCCACTACGTTCCGTTTTGCGGAACTGAGTACAGTGAACCGTGATCGGGCGTCAACCATAATGATCACAATCATAATCATAATTAATTAAAGCGGGAAGAGGGGCCTCCCTAATCACCCGACACGCATACAGAAAATGCCACGTGTGAGGCTGGCCGGGTGTTTCTCTGGTGCCACGCTGGATGTTCCAGGAGGTTAAAGTCAAAGTAATGTGTGAAATCGTTGTGGCAAAGACTGGTGAGTGAAAGAAAGGGCACTGACTTTGAAGCCTGGGGTGGTTTTACACGGCAAATCAGGGAAGCTCAGATGAAAGTTTGTTTGTATTTTTATATTATTTTTGTAATACTCGTAATAGTAACCAGTAATACTCCTCCTACTGGAAGAGCTATAAATATAATGGAGGGTGAAAAAGAGGGAATAATGTAGGGGAAGGGGGTGACGTGAGCAGACCAATCATGGAGGAGCAAAGGTTTAATCATGGAATGGCGTGTGAACAAGCATTGCATCGAAACTCACAATCACCCCCTCGCAAAATTTATTGTCAAAACAGATGAAGGGAGCTCTTGTTCCTGCTTGGTTCGTGATAACTGCGTTTTCTGCGCGGTCACCGAGTAGTCAGATCAGCGCACAAGTTAATCAGGTTTTTAAATTCCTCATAATTTAAATACTACTTCCTTCCTTCAAAATATGAAAATTTAGATATTAAAAATTATAAAATATTTTTAATATTTTAAAATATAATTATTTTTTTAAAGTGTTTCTATTGAATAAAATATTTATATTTGTTATAAAGCATTTAATAAATATAAATATAAGAAGATAGAGTTAATTTAAAAATAAATAACTATTTTATTAAAGGGTAAGATTTAATTAAAAATAATTTATATTTTTTAAAAATACTCTCTCCATTAAAAAATGTAAAACATTTTTAATCGAGTTTTATCTCCCAATAAAGTAATTACTTATTTTTAAATTAACCTTATCTTTTCATATTTACCTTTATTAAATATTTTATAATAAATATAAAATATTTTATTCAATAGGAACACTTTAAAAAAATAATTATATTTTAAAAGGTTTAAAATATTTTATATTTTTTAATATTTAAATTTTCAAAAAATATCTTTTTATATTTATCCATATTAAATACCCTACAATAAATATAAAGTTATTATCAATAGACACTTTAAAAAAGATAATAATTATATTTTAAAATATTAAAAATATTTTATATTTTTAAATAACTAACTTTTTAAAATATATTTTATATTTTTAAATAAAAAGAGTAGTAGTTATCATTTATTGGTTTGTCTAGAGAAAGCATACGTAACCCTCGCGTTCGGTTTCGGTGCATATCATGGTAAGCAATCTGAAATGTCTATATTTAAAATTTATAAATTTTAACAATTATACTTTATTAACAATCAAAATAATCTTTACTTAATATAAATAGTTTGATTTAATATTAAATATTTTTATAATTTTTTTAAATTAACTATTTAAATATACTAGAAATAGTTTAGATTTAAATTTTTTAAAGCGTTAATTTGAAAATTATTTTTATTCTTATTTTTAAATATGATTTTTACTAAAAATAAAATTTATAAACATTTAAAAATTAATATTAAGTTTAGATTGTTTGTAGTATATAGGATAGTTAATTTATAAAAATTATAAAAAATTTAATATTAATTACACCATTCAAATTAAACAACTATTGCCTGGCAGGGTTACTGAACTCATAAATTTAAGTAAATTTGTGATAGGAATGTAAGCATGAGACATAGACTCAAATTATAGATTATTACACTCAAGATGAAAATTTCAAAATGAGGCAACTTTTTTTGTATTTTTTAATAATATTATCTTTTGATTTTTATTTTTTATTGAATCGAATCCTGCCATTTTTATGAACCAAATTATATACAATATATACCTATCATAGTCAACAAGTTTATGAGTAAAATATCATAATTTTATAAGTTAGAAATATAAAAATAATAAATTTAAAGAGTCAATTTGAGAGTTTGACAATAATATTGCCTAAATTGATAACAAGATACATTTATTAAAATTTTATAATTTTTTATGATAAATATAAAATAGAAAAAAAGATAAAATGGGAAAATATCAATCAATGATAGTCGGGAGAAATTTATATCAATTAAGAATTACTTATTATAAAAACTCAAACGAAAACTTATCAATTTAAATAAATCTTTTGTCAACAAGAATTCATTCAAATTTTAATAATAATTTATTTTAAATTATATAAACAATTCATTAAAATTTTAATAATAATTAATATTTAATTGCTGGTCAAAAATATAATCTTTAATTGATACTCTTTCGTTTAAAAATATAAAGCATTTTTAATCGAATCTCACCATAGCTAATAAAGTCTATAATCTCACTATATTCCTCCCAATAAAATGATTACTTACTTTCAAACTAACCCTATATTTTTATATTTATTTTTATTAAACACCCTATAATAAATATAAGGTCACTATCAATGGAGGTACTTTTTAAAAAAATAATGATTACATTTTAAAATATTAAAAATACTTTATTTTTTAAATATTTAATTTTAAAAAATATTTTATATTTTTAAATAAAAAGAGTATAAATAAATTTTTTAGACTAGGTGCTCAAGTAGAGTTGGAAAAACGGGCGGGCCCGGCCCTTATGGGCCCGACCCTTATGGGCCTAGGCCCTTAAGCCCGGTTCTTCATTTTCAACCCCTTTTCTGAAGCCCGGCCCTTATGTTCAGGGCTCAGGGCCGGGCCCGAAAGCCCTAATTTAAAAAATTAAAATAAAATCAAAAATCAAAAATTAATTAAAATATTCAAAAATTGAAAACAATTAAAGTCCTCTCAATCTTTTAAAAATTAAACAACATATTTAAAAATCCAAATAGTACATATTCATCAATTAAAACATAAATCCTCCTCATCCTCATCATCTACAAATAAAACATTAGAACTCTAAGAAGTAGGTCCACTTGTTAAAGGTGGAGGGATTTCAATATCAATATACTCTGCAACCACTTCTTCCTCACCTACAATAAAAATGAACAAAATTGTGTTATTATTAAACATACACAATCACATATATCACAAGACAACATTTCACAAAACAAAAATTACCACATAATGGTGGAACAAAACCATGTAACCAATTTCGAGTACAAATTAATGCTGGCACATTATCTGGAAGGAGGCTAGAACGATACTTTGTTAGAATACGGGAACCAATACTAAAAGCTGATTCACTAGCTATCGTAGTAATCGGAATACTTAAAATATCGCATGCCATCTTTGAAAGATTGGGAAATCGTTGTTGATTAGTCATCCACCAATGCAACACGTCCAACTCTGAAAATTGGTGACCATCAAGAGAAGCTTCTTCTAAATAATAATCCAGTTCAGATTTTCCAACAGAAGAAACATCCTTACTCTTGAAATTAAGAAAATCCTATGTAAAAAAAAAACAAAAAGTATCAAATAAGGGATTATAAACCAATAGTAATGAGATAATGTGTATTAGATAAATAAAAACTTACACCATAAAGTTGAATCCAAGACATGGTTGGTTTCTTCTTCTCTACCATCCTTCCACTTGTGCTTGAACTTGGTTGACTTTGTATTGGAAATTAAACTTGATGTGACATTAATGGAAGATCTACCCATCTCTTTGTATTGATCAAAGATATAATACAACTTTTGTTTGATATTATCAACTTTCATGTAGTAATCCACAGGATCAATCAAAGAGAAAGAATACTTGATTGCTTCAAACTTTGCTCGTGGATCAAAAATACTTCTAATTG